CGGCCCTTCTCCCCCATCCGTTCCTCCGTCCACACATCCCAAAATGGCGCCCTCCCGAGTCCTCAACATCGGCAACATCAACCCGAACCTCGTCAAGGCCGAGTATGCTGTCCGTGGAGAGATTGCCTCCAAGTCCGAGGTCTACCGCCAGCAACTGAAGGACCACCCCAACGACCACGGACTCCCCTTCGATACCGTCATCTCCGCCAACATTGGCAATCCTCAGCAGCTTGACCAAAAACCCATCACCTTCTTCCGTCAGGTTCTGTCGATCCTCGAATACCCTGCGCTTCTCGATGTTCCTGGCGACATCTTCCCCGAAGATGTCAAGGAGCGTGCTCGGGCTCTATTGAAGGAGGTCAATTCTGTTGGCGCTTATTCCCAGTCCCAGGGAGCCTTTGGAATCCGCAAATCGGTTGCCAACTTCATTGAACGCCGTGATGGCTTCCCTTCTGACCCCAACGACATCTTCCTTACCGCTGGCGCCTCTTCCGGAGTTAACGTGACCCTCAACACCATGTGTTCCTCCAAGAGCACCGGCATTCTTATCCCGATCCCGCAATACCCGCTTTACACTGCTACCCTTGCTCTCCTTGACGCTACCCCAATCCCATACCACCTTCAGGAAGAATCCGCTTGGTCAACAAACATTGCAGAGCTCCGTGGGATCATCCAGGAATCCCGTGCCAATGGCATCGACCCTCGCTGCATTGTCATCATCAACCCGGGCAATCCCACCGGAGCGTCCCTCAACGAAGACGATATCGCAGCTGTGCTCAAGCTTGCGGCAGAAGAGCACCTCGTCGTTATGGCCGACGAAGTCTACCAAACCAACGTCTACCTTGGCGAGTTCCACAGTTTCAAGAAGGTCCTTCGCAAACTCCAGGCCTCCACCCCAGTGGCCTACGACTATGTTGAGCTTATCTCGTTGCACTCCATCTCTAAAGGCATGGTTGGCGAGTGCGGTCACCGCGGCGGTTACTTTGAGCTCACCAACTTTGATCCGTTGGTCAAGGCGCAAATCTACAAGCTCGTCTCCATTACGCTCTGCCCTCCTGTCATTGGTCAATGTTTGGTCGAGCTCATGTGCAACCCTCCCACTTCAGGCTCCCCGTCCTATGAGCTCTACCGAAAGGAGTATGACGGCATCTTTTCTGGTTTGAAATCGCGGGCCCAAGCGCTTTACGAAGCGTTCAAGGACATGGCTGGTGTGAAGTGCCAGGACCCCATGGGAGCAATGTACCTGTTCCCGACAATCACATTGCCCGAGAAGGCCGTCAGCGCCGCTGCTGAGAAGGGTAAGAGGCCAGATGAGTGGTACTGCTTGAGGATGTTGGAGGAGACTGGTGTGTGTGTGGTTCCAGGGAGCGGGTTTGGTCAGAAGGAAGGCACATGGCATTTCCGGACGACCTTCTTGGCGCCGGGTACAGAGTGGGTGAGCAGAGTGAAGGCGTTTCACGAGGGATTCATGAAGGAGTATGCTTAGGTGGGGTTGGGGTTCTGGCGAACCAGGAGTTTGGAGTTCAGGTGATGTGGCGGGGAAACCGAGACTAGGAATTGGGGGGAAGCTCGGTTGCGCGTGGTAATGGGCATGGGTGGGCGTTGGTGGTACAGTACATGTCTCTTTTGTTTTTTTTGGTTATTTTGTTGTCTGCGGGCTTTATCCATGAAGGACAGATCCGCTTTGATGGGCGTTCGCGTGAATGATGTGTGGAAATGGATCTTATACGTCATATATACAATATACAATACAGTCATGGTTGTCGTCATGGAATTCTCCGCATTGTGCTGGTCCAGAGATCGAGAAGCTCGGTGTGGAATTCAATGTCCCACCACACTGGCGTCTTGACAGCGTGGGGGGCGCGTGAGCTTTGGAGCTCCATCTTGTGCATCTGCATCAGCATCAGAGCTGGTGTGCAGCCCAATCACTGTCTCCCCCATCTTCCACTAGCCGGTGAGCAGAGCTGATAGAAGCTCTCTATAAAGCTCGTGTTCTCCCCCCCGCCGTGTTCCCTCCTCCTCCTCTTTCCCTCCTTCCGCCATGTCATTCACATACACACCTCCAACTCTCTCGTCCGACGACGAAGCTCGCCTCCACATTGCCGCGAGCATCGCCAGCTCCTCCAGCTCCTCCAGCTCTCGAACTCATCGCCCCGCCGGTACCCGTCCGCACGCAGCCTACTCCAAAGTCCTCTCGAACGGCTCCCTCTATCTCGGCAACCTTCGCTCAGCCCAAGATGACCACCTCCTCTACAAACTCAAAGTCACGCAAGTCATCTCGATCGTCTCTGAGGGAACCGCCCTCCAAATCCCCAAGACCGTGAAGCATCGGCGAATAACACTCTCAGACCTCCCCTCGGAAGACCTGCTCGCCATCCTCCCGGAAGCAACAAAACTTATTGACGAGGCCCTCCGCACACATGAGGTCGTCATGGTACATTGCCAACATGGCCTCAGCAGGAGCGCAAGTGTCGTCATTGGCTTTCTGATGATGAGGCTCCATTGGAGTCTTGCTGCTACGCTGGACTACCTCAAGCAGCGGCATATCTGTGTCCAGCCAAACCCTGGCTTTTTCGAGCAGCTACGGGTGTGGGAGGACCAGGTGAATGGACCCTCGCCGGCCAGTATGCTGTGAATGAGGGGTTACAGGTGCTCGGACAGGGGGAGAACGGCATTATCATCACGGTGTTTCTTGTTGATTGATTGGCGTTTGGCATTGTTTTCCCGTTTTTGTTTGCCGTTTTTGGTTTCACCCGGTGTTTGTGCTGGTTCAAGTTGCTGCTGGTGCATTCTGCATTCCGGTCTCCATACGCATCTGTTTCGGTGTTGGTGTTACTGTTACTCCTCCTCCTTCTCTATCTCTATATCCTCTTCCCCTCCTTCTTTGTTTGTTTCCTCGTTATTGGTTGCCCTCCGTTTTGGAGCAGGCACGCGGCTGGACCTGATTGCTTGTCTGGAGTTTCTCGTATCTCTGTATCTTTTAGCGAAATGATAAGGCACGAATTACGATTGCAGTTGCAGCGCTATCTATGCTCGTGAAGTTGCCAACTGTTCTGTTTGATTGCCCAGGCCGAGGCTATTGGTGATAAGGTAGTGATGATGACGGTGGTGACTCCGTTGAGGACGCTGTTGACAGGCTGAATGCGAGAGATGGTGGTGTTGTCGTGTCGTGGTTCAGCTGGATGTGGGCACTGGGCACACAAGCTCGGGCCAACGCCAGGATGGGAGTGATGCGCGCGTGCTGTGTTACATGACCTGCGTAGAGCCACCTCTGACGGTGACGGATGAATGCAGAGCTCCGTGTATGATTGTAACGTCATGTCATGAGACAGCTCCATATAATACTGTAGAACCATCATAAACCCGTAGGCAGCACGGTCCGAGCACCATAGCATCTCCAAAAAGCAAAGGTAACAATAACTATACGCCCTAACCCGCAACGCCAACCTCCATAGCAATACCAATAGCAAGATGAATACCAGCGATCCCTAAACCTCCCTCACCACCACCGTATAACGTTACTCTACCCACTCACACTCCACGTCTCCCCACCCCTCAAATCGGCACCATCGTAATCCTCACCTCCACTCCCTCCACGCGATTCACCCACCCCGGATAAATCGCTCTCGCCAACACCACCACCCTATCCCCGGGCATGAGCGCCTCCACAAACCCTACCCCCCTCCCAGCTCCACTCACATCATAATCCCACTTATCCTCCTTCTTCTCCTCCGCGCTCTCTCCCTCCTCCGGTTCCTGGGGTTGGCTCCCCTCATACCACCGCACGATATGCGATTTCGGGTCGCCGGTGGAACACCTGTTTAGCTGGAGGTTCCAGACGTTGTGGGTTACGTCGTCGTTGCTGTTGTCACGGTGAGGAGGGGGGACGAGGTTGTAGCCTGGCTCCGGGAAGAAGGGCTGCTTGGGGTCGGTGACGTCTGTGGCGCCGTGTTTTTGGATTCGGGTTGCGAGGTTGCAGACATTGGTTGAGGGTTTGGGGCGGAGGATGGCGGCCTCGAACCAGGTGTACGACGCTCGGTAGGTTCCTATCCAGCATCATAAGCTCCATTCCCCATCATTGCATGCGTCTGAAGAGATATGGGTTTGGGGTATAGCCACCTTGAAACCTCCTATCCTCCCCACTCCACCCCTGATCCCCACTCCGCATCCAAAACTCCACCTTCTTGATCTTCCTTATCCCCTTAGGTACAGGCTCCGACACCACCGCTGCCCGACGGGCAACACACCTATCCCCCCTCCCCTCCATGGCAGACACATCAGCCTTGCGTTGCAGCGTCGCAGTAATCATGGGGTAGTAGTCCGCAAAGTCGATGATGGCGAGGACTAGCTCTGCGGGGAGGGGTTGGCGGAGGTGGCGGGTGAGGAGGTGAAAGACGCGGGTGACGTCAGTGGGGGTTGGGGAGAATGAGGGGAGGGCGGGGAGGAGGACCGAGGGGGTGGTCGACTCTTGTGAGCCGGATTCGTAGTAGGAGTCGTAGTCTTCGTTGTATTGGTAGTCTTCGAGTTCGCTGTCATGCTCGTTGTCGTGCTCGTGAGAATCGTGCTGGGAGAAGAAGGTGCCCATGGTTTCGGGGTCGGGGATTACAGGAAGGGTGGTTGTTGCTGCTGTAGGGAGGATTGCTGGTTCCACCGTTGCTTCTGATGGGAACGTTGTTGGTTCTGTTGTCGTTTCCGAGGGAAGGGGATGCGATGGTGGACTGGAGGGACCAGCTACGGGTTCGGCTGATTGCATGGGGCCGCGGAAAACGTTTTTGGGATCGGGAGACATGGGAGAGGTTTTATAATTGATGGATGGAGGTTATGGGAGGCGTTGTGGAGCGAGTACAGTCGAGGTAGCCTGGCGCATAACGTAGCTTGGAGCTTGGAGCTTGGAACTTGGAGCTGCCGCGTTGCGGGGTGTCTGGCAACGTCACGGTGGTGGAGAGTTAAGCAGGATGTAGCTATATAAAGACTAGACTGGCCATGACGTCAACAGGAAAGGTCTTGTAGCTCAGTGGTAGAGCATGCGATTGCAGCTTGCAAATTATCGCAGGGTCCCGTGTTCGAACCACGGTAGGGCCTTCTTTTTTTGCCCGAGATATTTTTGCGATAAGACATTGTTGTTGACACAAGACACGCTGCTTATTTTCCGCAGGTCTTACAACACTCAAATACAGTTCACTGTGTACAGTGATATTAGGGTATGATATTTACAACTGCTCGTCACTCTACTTTGCATCCATCACGTTCTTCCCCTCCTTGACCAGCTTCTTTCTGTATCTTAACACATCCCCGTCCAACCACCATGCAATTAACCTCCACACAACTCCCATCACACTTGCCACCACCATTTCCACCACCATTGTTCCCCAATTCCCACCCTTCGGTGTGCCTCCCCAGACGGCGCCTCTAAATACCCTCCCCATCCACCCAGTCACCACGCTCACCTCTCCTCTCTCCAATCCCTCTACACATCGTCCTGCTACCTCTTCACATGTCTGCCCTTCATCACTGCCCTCAATTATCTTTGTGAGCTCGGGTTTAGTTTTTTGCTCTTCCTCAAAGCCGGGAGAGTAAATTGTGGCCGGGAAACAACATGATACGGAGATATTATAGAGGAGACATTCAGAGCGGAGACCGTCGGCAAGTGACCGAATGGCGGCTTTAGAGGGGGAGTAGGTGTTGTAGCCTGGGAGAGGATGGAAGCCGAGAATAGAGGAGGTGAAGATGATGTGGCGCTGGGGCTGGTTTGGACGAGTCGGGGGAGCAGAGGTCATGAGTTTCAGAGCAGCCTTGAAGTCACCAACGTCAGCAACGTAATCACAATAAGGAACCGGAATGGATGTATACTCACATTTGCTGTCAAAGCCGTGCTGACATAGTTCCCCATTGCCTCCTGCACCACCCTCTCTCCAGACTGATTCTTGAAATACCCTGGCTTCGTCCCTCCCGCGCACTGCCAAACCACATCCGGAGCCCCCTGCCCCTCCTCATTGACCCCTTTACACCACTCCCTCACCTCTTCAAACCCCCTCTCCACCGCCGTCGGATCGGTCAAATCACATGAAATAGCGCGGAACTTCTGCGCCGCCGGATCCTTCGCTGCGGCTTTGATCTCCTCCAGTGCGGAATTGAGTTTGGATTGCGTGCGAGCGATGATGCAGACATTGCCGCCGCGGGACGAGAGGAGGAGTGCAAGGGAAAGGCCGGTGCCTTGTGAGCCGCCCGTGATGACGAAGGTGCGGTGGGAGATGGGGAAGTGGTTTCGGCGCGTGAAGATGGACATGGTTGAGAGGACGAGGACGGCGGCGAGGAGGGATAGGGAGACTGGGGAGGTGGCGAGCGAGAGGACGGTGGAGCTGGGAGCGGGCGGGGAGCAGGTCACCGGGTCCATTGGATGGTATTGGGTCAGCCCCAAGGGATAAGAGGAGAGCTGGAGTGAGTGGAGATGGGGAGCCGAGTGAGTGGGTGACAAGGAGGCGGAGGTGCAGCGCTACCTCTCTTCTACACCCGTCAACAACACAACATCCGCACACACCACCGCCGTGGAGAAATGATATCCGGGCCTCACTTTGCTTTTGTGTGTATGTTAACCCCTTTCTTTCAGACCGTGCTCATACTATCATGGCCATTCTACTCATCTGGCTGATCAACTTGATGGGACCTTTGAAGGACGAATTTGGTTTTAGTTTTGTTTGGCGTCACTTGGGTATAAGTGTGTAAGTTGACGATGCGTGCATATTCTACGGAAAATATGGGATGGTGGAACTGGTCATAGATCATACTCTGGTCTAAGGAATGTTCAAGTTTGCAATAGAGATAAATAGTTTGCCCTGGTTATAAACCATTCCCCATCCCATCTTTCAACACATACTTTATACACTTGGTTTCTCAAACACGATAGTAACCCTCCAATCCTCCCTAAATACCTGACCATGAGTTCACCGGAAGATAACATGTCATTTCGCTGGGGCTTTCCTGACATGTCCTGGATTCCCCATTGGCCAACGGATCCTACGGCAGTTGGTATGTTCTTCATCATCCTCACAAGCACCACAGCTGTGGATGCTTGCTTTTTATCCAGGCCTTTCGCGGGACATCTGTCCTGGTATTTCTGCTTTCTGACATTCTCACCAACAGACCGCTGCTTGTACGCCCTTTGGCAAGCTCCACCCAGTGTATTTCAAATTATTGTTGACGACAGATGGGAACTAGAGAGTATATTCTTCTTTTTGGCCCTTTATCAGAAATCATTTTCGTTAACCATTTACATGATCTTAATAGAGTGGACTGTCCCACATGACATGAGGACTGTATCGGCGGATAGGCACAAGGCCGCTCAGTTTCTTCATGGTAAACTGTGCTATGGATGCAGGAAGTGGCTACCAAATACAGAATTTCCGGATGCTTCTCGAGTAAATATTTGTTTTAGGCACAAAAACGTGTAGGGCTGAAAGGGGAGGAGGCAGGACTCGTAGGATTTAAAGAATTCAATCCATTTGATTATTTGTTCTATCTAAATTCTGTGTCGCCTCAATCGTCTTTGACAATCGGATTCAAAAACAGAGGTCAAGATGCTCCATCTAAGAAGTTTCAACAGCCAGAGTAGAAACCGGCATTCCCGTGATTGCCACAAGGGACAAACTGCTGTGACGACCCAGCCGACGGCGGTAGTTTGCCTTTCGGTTATCGGGGCTTCTGGAAGAATTACTGGCATGTAGGGTGTAGTCACCAGTATGTTACATGTTTGGTCCGGTGTCTGACAGCGCATCACTTGGTCCGCGGATGGCGACATCCGTGTGGACCTTTCAAATGACCATGTTGCTTCCATTCCATCCATCTCCACTTCACTCCACCTCCACCTTCACATCAGTTCTCTACAGCGTCACCGCCGTAATCGCCGCTCCTCCCATCTCTCATCAAAGCGCTATCCACGAACTCTCATCCCCTCCGACGCCATGTGTACGCTCGCTCCCCCGTCGCCCCCCATTCCCGTAACAAACTGACCTCTCTTTCTAGGCCGCTTTCTGGTGTACAAAGGTCGCAACCCCATCCTCCTCTCCGACTTAATACTCAACCCTACACACTCAATCCTCACACAATCCTACGACTGTCGGCTGCGTCTTGACCACCGCCGCCCCCACAACGGAGATGGCTTCGGCGTTGGCTACTACACGTCACCAACTCTCTCTCTCGAACCCTGTATCTTCACCTCTACCACGCCGGCCTGGAACTGCATCAATCTCGCCCGCATTGCAAAGAAAACCGTCTCCCCGCTCGTCTTCGCCCACGTCCGCGCCACCACCACCGGAGCGTTGTCAGAGTCAAACTGCCACCCCTTCTCGTTTCACTCACTGATGTTCATGCACAACGGCCACATTGCTGGTTTCCGCTCCGTCAAGCGTCGGCTGGTGGAGAGTTTGAGAGACGAATACTTCCTCATGGTTGAAGGGAGCACGGATTCAGAGTGGGCGTTCGCCGTATTTTTGGACACGCTTCACACAATGGGTTACGATCCGAAGCTCCCCCGTGAGAACGGGTTCGGGCATACCGTACTCCGCCAGGCCATTTTGAAGACCATTGAGAGGTTGAATTCATTCCTCGACGCTTCTGGGATTACGGAACCATCGCTCCTTAATTTCGCCGCCACGGATGGACACTCTGTCATCTGCACCCGCTACGTATCATCCCGCACAGACGAAGCCGCGTCGCTGTATTTCTCGTCCGGAACGAGATTCCATGAGTATAAGCCTGGCGGATTTTACCGTATGGAGCGACACGATAGAGGACAGGATCTGGTGATGGTCGCCAGTGAGCCGTTGACGTTCGAGAGAGGTGACTGGGTCACCGTGCCGACGAACAGTATCTTGACGATTCACAAGCAGACGGTGTTGATTCATCCGATTGTGGATAAATATTATCAGGAGAACCCGAGTTTCGTGCGGAGTCAGGGGTATGCGGAGAGTTTGGGGATGGTGGGGAGGGGGCCGGGGGAGGCAGCGGAGAAGGTGGGGAAGGAAAAGTTGGTCGAAGAGGGGAGGAGGTTAAGTGAGATTGTGGATGTTGTCTAGACTGGAGAGCGGATTGATGACCGCAGACCCGGTTTGGCTGGCGGGATGGCGAGTTGATGTTACACTTGTGGCTCCGATTGCGGGTGGAACCCATGCCACGGGGATTGCTTTCTGCTGCGGTTTTGCTGCTGCTATTTCTCTGTTTCGTCCTGTTGCTATTGGCGTTTTGCTTGTTTTCTTCACCGGAGTTTGGTACGGGAGTTATGGGTGTTTTCCGGATTGGAATTGCTTGCAAATTAATTCAACGGGAATGGGTGTAGTCAACCTGACATTCCGTCTGTCGATATCTGATTGTGTTTTCCATTTGTGGTAGACTTTATCATAGACATTATCAATACTGTTTCATGTGCTCCTTTTCTGGAACACTTGGGACGGCTTTGGGCCTGGCAGAGCAAAGGTCCCTGGAAAGACGTTACCAGGAGAATTTGTTCATAGAAGCAATTGCCTTGTCGTCCGCGCCTATCGCGACTACCCACCTAGTGCGGCTCATCGCGGTTGCGCTCCGTTTCGGGTGTCCCCAGACGCTTCAGGTGATACAAGACTCCCACCAACATCAATCTTCACACCCCACCACCGACGTCGCCGTCCCCCCGTCCGCCCTCCTCCGCCCCGCGATGCTGCCAGTGCGCCCGCTCGCCAGCGCCTCGGCGCCCATTCTTCGCCCTCTCCTCGGCCAACAAATCCGCGGCAAAAAGAAACTCACCAAGGCGCTCACCATCCCGGTGGTGCTGCTGCAAGACGTGCCATATCTCGGGCGGAAAGGAAGCGTGGTTGCGGTTCCAAGAGGACGGATGAGGAGTATGTTGAGCTTTGCTTTTTGATAGTATGGAATTGAGGTGTTGGGGGCGGATCTTTAGGAATAGCAGATCAGGGATTGAGGACGCCGGGAAAGCTGACACCTGTGATGAATAATGAATAGATGTCCTCTATCCCCAAAAAGCCGCCGATTATTACACCTCCCGCGCGCCCCCTCCTCTCGTCCCTATCGACCCTACATTCGTCGTCACGCAC